TTTCTGAAAAAATTTGAAAAAATCGCAAAAAAAGTCATATCTCGAAAACTACAAGGATTTGAACAGTCATATTTGGAGGCAAGATTTGTAACTCCTTAGAGTACTCCGACAGGACCTAACTACAGGGTTAGGAATTTAAGATTTTTAAAAACTAATCATAATTTAAGTTTTCAGAAAAATTTTGAAAAAATCACAAAAAACGTCATATCTCAAAAACTACACTTGAGCAGTCATATTTGGAGGCAAGATTCGCAATCTTTGAGATTACTCTGACAGGACCCAACTACAGGGTTAAGAATTTCAGACTTTGTAAAAAATTAATATAAGTTTTCTGAAAACTTTTTGAAAAAATCACAAAAAACGTCATATCTCGAAAACTACAAGGATTTGAACAGTCATATTTGGAGGCAAGATTTGTAACTCCTTAGAGTACTCCGACAGCACCCAACTACAGGGTTGGGAACTTCAAGTTTTGTAAATTAATTTATTTGAAGTTTCGTCTTATCTCAAAATTCGTCTTATCTCGTTAACTAAAATGATTCGGGCATTCAAAATTGGAGGCCAAATTCGCAACCCCTAATTCGATATTGGGCTGCTTAACTTAAACAAATTGGAAAATCGAAAAAAAAATTTTAACCATTGCAATATACGATATAGCTTAAACATGCAAAAATATTACGTTGAAAAAGCTTAAGCATGGCGAGATAGTGAAGCCCGCATTTAAATATATAATAGATTAGTATAATCAAAAATTTAGTCACGTACTAAAATGAACATCGATCAAAAATTTTACCCGAGAGGCGAATCAGATCCTTGCAACACTTGTAATACAACATGACAAACAAGCAGACATAAACTGAACAAAAAAGTAATATAAGCAAACTGAAAATTTATTTTGCATCGAAAGATGCGGTAATACCCGTTGACTAAATAAGATTTTCATGGAAAAACTTCTAAGACAAAATAAATTACCACTTCAGAAAATTCACACGCACAAAAAACTTGTTCTGCTCATGCTTCAGCATGAACATGAGGCCACCAATCCGTTTAAGTAAGAATCCAAAAATTTTTAAGCCGTGTACACAAAAAAAAATAAAAACGAAAAAACGGACGTCTCTAATTGGAGTTGGTGAAATGAAAACCAACGAAGCAAAAACACACGTTCAAGAGAAACGGGCTTTTGATATGCAGACATGATTAAACTATATCTGATGATTGAAGAAAACGCAGATTTGAGAAAACGATTGAGTGATTATCTTGTACAAGTTTTTGCAAGAAACAAAACTATATTCCAAATTGATAATTCTTGCTAATTGCGAGCATAATGATCACATTTGTAAAACAAAGGCGAAGCTGAGCTGAGCGCCACTCGCGATACAACAATTAGGCACCATGACGCTAACAAAAAATTAGCAAACAGAACATCGAACAATATAATTATTGAAGGAAAAAGAAAATGACCAAAAAAATTAAAAAACAAAAAAAGCACTTTTTTTCGCGTTTGAATTCATTTAAGTTTTCAAAGAGGTCCTAGTGGGGTTGAATTTTGGCAGTCAAACACTGGTGTCTGAGAATTATAGATCTCAAAAGTGCAGCACTTTAAGAAAAAAATATGTACAAAAGGAGACAGAATTGAAGCCGACATCCAATAAGCTGAAACTTTAGTAAAAAAAAAACATACCACGATAGATAAATCAGTAGCGTATGCAAAGTAGACTGAAGACCAGCTTAAGCTGAAAATGATTGTTTGATAATTTCTCTGAATACGTACCGATGCGAAAACGGGCAATACAAGAAATCGAAACAAGCTAAAATTGCACAATTCACAAGTTGATGACTTATTTCCAACTAAAAAATAGGTCAAAAATTTATTACTTTAAAAATTAATAAAATTACAAAATCCTAAAAGTCAAAAAGCGGCGAAAAGGTCCAAAAGTTAAGCGAGCTGCGATCATAACAATATACTTTCGCCGCCTCAGATTTGGGAGGGTAGTTTTTGAGAACTAAAGTCAAAAATATCAAAAACGGTCAAACAATCGAAACTTTGACATCTCCGAGGGCCATAACATCTTATATAATTTGGTGTGATTGCTAATGCAGGGGAGATTCCCACTACTCGTTCTCTCTATTAAACCGAAAATCTCAGATTTGGGAGGGTAGTTTTCAAAAATTCCCCCACACATTTTTTTCGAAGTCTGTAGAAAGTGAAGTGAAGGTAAAACAAGACTAGGGGGTATGCAAGCATACAGGGGAAGGTGAACCTCTAAAAAAACCTAATCCATACAATTTCATACTACCTGTTTTTATCAAACAGGAACTAAATAATTTGGAAACTAAACCGACGGAGTTGAAGTCGACAACCATGAAGCCGATAAATCATCAGCAGAACTCTATGAATATACATACAAAAATTTGAGCAGTACCCGGTAAAAAAATTTGAATTTTCATGAAACTGAGCATGTCAGCATAATTGGCTCAAATAAAAACAAGTCCAGGTCGGATTCGAACCACAAGCCTTTGCCGTCTCTAGCAGGTGTATAACCTCTATGCCAGATGATTCGGATGGTTGATTGAATTTACTATAAAACGAGTTGAAACACCAGTAACATTTTCAGGTGCAAAATCATGTAAACAAAATCTTTACGGAAAAGAGTCTAGTAACACCGTTGCAAGACCTTTGCGAATCATAAAGGCAATTAATTTTTTTTGTATTAAAAAAGAAGCAAAAAGTCATATCTCTTAAATTAAAAAACTCGATCAATCAAAACTCGAGGCCACAATCACAACCACTTGGAGTACCCTGCAAGCACCCCACTTTTAGATTTTGCTATGGTTTAAAATTAGGGCTACTAACTCAAAATTTTGTGAAATAAAATCAAATGGATTACTTTCCAAGAACTTGGGTTGGAAAAGGAGAAAACCGTAGGGTACCTCATACTAGCCGCAGTGTTGGAAAAAAATCGGATTTTTATTTTAAAAATCAAAAAATCGGATTTTTTTGATTTAAATCGGATTTTTTTGATTTAAATCAAAGTCACCTACAGTGTAAAGTCACCTACAGTGTAAAGTCACCTACAGTGTAAAGTCACCTACAGTGTAAGCTGGAGAACATTTTAACTGCACAACATTTCATAATTGCAGATGATACACTTTGAAAGCATAATATAATACTTCACAATCATCGGGACATGTTTAGGGTTTTCAAAACGAAAACCAGCTTTGCTGATTTTTTCACTCCTAGGCGATTGCGCTCCTTGGAATGTACCCAACTGTAGGTTGAAAAAATTCTCTCCAGGTCCGCCGTTGAGAAATAAACACTAGAAATAAATCAACCATAAAGGCTTTGATTTAAATCTTGATTTAAATCGGATTTTTACTGTTGATTTAAATCAATTGATTTAAATCAGCCAACACTGACTAGCCGCAACTGATGTATGGTGACAACCTTATAAATTAGAATTCGTATTAATAATCTTAAAATATAGATTTCAGTTAAATACTTTAAGCGTTGCAATATGTCAAAATAGGGTTAGCCTTCAAATATGTGTGAAGTCAAACCCCAATTTAATTATGTATAGATAAAGAAATGCCCTACAAACTGCGCCATACTGCCTTGCTATCTTTAGACACAAACTACCACTAAAGCGGATACAACAAAGGCTAATCGTATCAGACTTCCTTTTTATAGGTTTTTAGAGCGCTATCTTTTAAGCTCATTTGGTGTTTTTTTTTGCTATAATTACGATCTGTAGCATTCGAAAATTCATCTCTTATTGTTCCGACCATTGAAAATTCATAGCATCTCTTTTTGTTCCGACCATTGGTGTGTTTTCCACGCAAACTCAGGCGCCACAAATAATCGTCGGAATGGGTCGAGTGGTATATCATTCTAAAGCCCTTTCAGTCGCGATTTAAACGACATAAGAAAATTTTCTCTGTGTCGAGAAAAACTGGTTCAAATTTTTAAATTTTTGGTCCAATTTCGAGCTAATAAGGTTAGCGTGCAGACTAACAATATCTGTTTTATGCTTAATTCAAGCCTTGAAAACTTAGTTTTGCTCGTGTAAAGTTATAAAAACTGTTTTCCAATTGGCTTATTTTACTATGACTCGAATATGCTCGTGTTCTATTTTCTCATTAATATCTTTTTATCACACACTATTTTGAAAAAAAAAAGTGTATATTTTTTAAGACTATGGTCGAAAAATGCTGTGCTAATTGTGCTATCCCTGTTCTTCTTTCGATCTGTTGAATGACTTCATTCGAGTTTTTACTAATACTGTTGATCAGAGATTATTAGATTGCGCCAATTCGATGCGCTATTTCATGTTGAACTCCAACAAGCAGCGGCAAAAAAAAACACTTTTGAATTTAAGCCGCTCGTAAATAAAATGTCTTTGGTTACCAAAAGATGGTCGGGAGGTTATCACAAGATCTACCTACCTGCCTTAAGCATTTCTGCTTGGATTGTGCTTATTCCACACATGAGTTGATAGTAAATATCAGAAAGAAAACTTAACAAAAAAAATAGAAATTAAGGTTGGAAAAAAGTGACCTGCTCTAATTCTGTTAAATTTTAAAACTAATAATCATGCTCAACTTCTCATTAATAATTCTCTGTTAAGCAGTTTGAAAATTTATTGCAAGATAAACTATTGGCTAAGTTCACGATGAGACGCAGTTAAAACATTCAAAATATTCAGTTTTTAATGAATGGAATATTATTTCTCTGATAGTTTATCCAATACTTTCACAACGGAAACAGTCTAACATATCACTGAAATCAGTAATTCGCAACAGTAAATTTTCAACGCAAAATTTCTCAAATTCACTGATAACCATGATAACGAACATTTTACAAAATAAATCAAGTCTGAAGCTGAATCATCGAAAGTCAATTCAAAGCTCCAAACCCTCCGAAATTCAAATATCAGTTTCTTGCATTCAAAAGTAAACAGTTTTGACATATCTCTCGCAAAACTTTCGGCAAAGAAACGCGTCTATTTCTCTCCCCATCGTGATCCTGCAGATTGCCCATTGGAAGGTTGGTCCGAGCTGCTCTTGCCTAGAGCATTCAACTTGTTCAACACCTCCAGAGTTTTCTGAGGAATACCAGGTTTCGGGTTCTGGCACTTGACACAAATTAATTTGACCAACTCATTGCTAGTACCACAAGGAGCACAGGTCCACGTGACACTGGCTGTGGGATTGACTGGCGAGGAAAACTGTGGTGTCGGAGTTGCGGTCTTCACCCCAATTGGAGTGTTATTTGCACCTGACATGGGCGCCAAAGTTGGATTTGGGGGCTTGGGAAGTTTGCATCTATTACACACAAGTCGCTTTGCGAAGTTGTGATTGTTGCAGCTGGAGCATATCCAGTCATCAGCTGTTCGGTTGTGAGTCGAAGGGAAATTGGGGTCACCGCCCATTCCGGCTCCACCGCTCGATCCATTTTTTTCTAGATCGGGCTTCGGCGCCCGACACTTGTAACAATTCCAACGATGGCCATGATTACTAGCATTACATGCAATACAGGGCCAATTTGGACCTCTGTCTCTGAAATTGTTTTGAAAATGTCCTCCACCTCTGTTGTTATTGTACTCGAAACGTGGCCGCTTATCGTAATTACTTTGGTAGTTCGAATCACCGTGATGGTTGTCATCCATGCGTCTCTTAAATCCTTGGTTATGATAGTTACCATCGTAAATTTGCACTGCAATTTTTTGTCCTCTGATATTTGACTCATTAAGCATGACAACTGCAGCTTCAGCAACACTCGGATCTTCGAAGGTAAGAAAAGCACACTGTCGATCAGGAGAAACGCATATCTGGTCAAAGCCGGAATAATTGTCTTTCTTCAATGCTCCCACATTGAAAGTATTTCTGAGCTCATCCAGGGTAACATCAGTGGGAAATCCTTCAACTTTAATTGTCCCAGCATCGTTAGTCCAGGCTGGAGGCTGATTTGGTCCGCCTCTATTGTATGGCCTGACAGGCGGTCGACTATTGTAAAATCCACTATTATGAGGTCCTTGATTGTGAGGTACATTAGGACGTGGATTGTTATATTGATTTTGGTACGGACTAGGTGGCACAAACTGCTGTGGTGGTGGTGGGGGCGCATAATTGGGATCACCATAAGGAGCGGGAGGCATTGGGTTATAGTTGTAGTAATTCGGAGGAGCTGCTGCACTGTTGTATGACGATTGTGGATTTGCATAAAATGGCTGAGAACCCATTTGAGGCGTTGAACTATCCTTTGATGACTTTCCCTCATCCGAGCTGGATATATTTACGGGCGCATTAGCAGCAGAGCTTCCTTTATCAGCAGGCGGGTACATTGATTGCGCATGTGGGTAGGCATTGTAAGGGACATTTGTGCCATAACCAGTGTAGGGGTTTTCCGGACCGTTTTGTGCATTTGTTCCTACAGCGAACTGTCCGTAAGCCGATGCTTGATTCTGGTAGTAGGCAGCATAAGCTGCACTATAATCAGGCCAGGTCTGACCGGTAGATGCGGCATGGTTTGCAGAACTTTGCGCAGTCGAGCTAGCTGTCTCGTTTTGGAACGACATATATAACTGAAAAAGTTCAGTCTTGGTTGTTAAAACACACGATGGAGCAGAAAAACAGAAAAATCCACATACTGCCTGCAGTTCAAAAATTATCTTATCAGCTATCGTAACAAAACAAATGGTTTAAAAATTGGCGTTGAAAATTTCAACTTCAAACTACTTTCATCTAACGTCCCAACTGAAAAATTTCATTTCCTTCCGTTCTGCATCAAATTATTGTAATCCCAGCCCGAACTCAGACTTTGTGCTTCACTGTCAAACATACGTAGCTGGACAGCAAAATTTTCTAGAGATTAGGAGCCCAGCTTACGCAAGAGACACAGCTCTAGAGATTACGAGCCCAGCAACAGGATCAAGGACGCTTTTACAGCAAGATTTAAAAAATTTAATGATAACCAAAGGACTACACTAGTCCATCGATTCAACCTGTCAAAAACCAAAAGAATTTCATAAATAAGGGAAAAGTGAAGTAAAACGTGAATAGTTGTGAAGAGAGTCAGATGTTTGGGTATCAAGCCAACCATGCCAAAATCTTTGGGTAACGCGGTAGAGTAGGGTATTGTGTCAGTCGGTCATATTTGGAAGTTGTAACATTCGCCCGGAAGTACATATCGACGGAAAATAAAGCTAAGCTATAAAATGACTGGCCAGCGTCTAAACAAAGCTCTACATGTTTTTCACCGTCTCTACCAAAGCCAGTTCTTTTGGTGGTCTTTGCAACATCGGGTCGACAAAAACGTTAAAATTCTCCAGCTTCGACCAGAACGCTCAAATTAACTTACTTACACGCAAAATAGTGAGCTCTTGGCTGGGTCTCAGTATCCCCAGACCACAAGGTCACTCCTAAAAACAGGGCTACAACTACTTATTATATTACGATTATTTTTGTTTAGTAGATAAAAATCATCATCTCCATCGAAGATGAATCAACCCTTTCCCTCAACTCCTAGCTTCTCATTATTAGAAAATGAATCCAAATGTTAATTAAATTTAATTCAGGGCATGACCAGGAAGCTAAAAGTTCGTGTAAAATAGTTTAAGTTCAAGCCTCAAGACCCCTCCGGATTCCTGAACCCGATGAAATAACACCCTTATTTCACCTGCAGAAGGCTGAATTCACGATTCCACCACCTTCACCGTTGGTGTGAATTGCCTTGTAACAATTTTAGCGACACAATCAATACAATTCGGAGTGGTCTTTGCCAACACTCTGTCGCATTTTCCATTTCCCGTCGTAGTTTTTCTCGCAACTATCGTTGATATTGTTTTCTTTTTGAATTTCTTCTAAAATGGCCGTTTTCAAAGTGTGACGTCACAAATCGAAATTTTAAAATTTAGAATTTCCAGAATCTTCCGGCCTTCACGATTCGTCTAATCGTCCAAATAACACTGCAAATCCTCTAAAACTGCCAATTCTCTGGGTTAGCGGCTAACCATCCGAAACTGTCTTTTTGTCAATTCTGGTCGAATGTCACTTACTCCCCGGACAGCCCGGTCAATGTCCCCATTGAATCTCGTAGTCTCCGTAAAAAATGGTACAGTGCCATCAAACAGAATTTACAAAATGCACGAAATCATTTTTATCAATGTCCTATCGACTCACAACAGAATATAAATGGCATCATACTACATCACTATAGCCTTCAAGTTCTTTCACTAATCTGCACTTTCGTGGATTTGATCTAAGATAAAACATTTTCACTGACTTCTAATTTCAAGGCCATGATTAAAAATTTTTCTCCTAGCTATTAAAAGGTCTCAGTTTGCAGGACAGTCCTGCCAACCAGCAAGCTAAGATTACCCTACTATGCTTCTTCCCATCGGTCAATTCTGGTCGAATGTCACTTACTCCCCGGACAGCCCGGTCAATGTCCCCATTGAATCTCGTAGTCTCCGTAAAAAATGGTACAGTGCCATCAAACAGAATTTACAAAATGCACGAAATCATTTTTATCAATGTCCTATCGACTCACAACAGAATATAAATGGCATCATACTACATCACTATAGCCTTCAAGTTCTTTCACTAATCTGCACTTTCGTGGATTTGATCTAAGATAAAACATTTTCACTGACTTCTAATTTCAAGGCCATGATTAAAAATTTTTCTCCTAGCTATTAAAAGGTCTCAGTTTGCAGGACAGTCCTGCCAACCAGCAAGCTAAGATTACCCTACTATGCTTCTTCCCATCGGTCAATTCTGGTCGAATGTCACTTACTCCCCGGACAGCCCGGTCAATGTCCCCATTGAATCTCGTAGTCTCCGTAAAAAATGGTACAGTGCCATCAAACAGAATTTACAAAATGCACGAAATCATTTTTATCAATGTCCTATCGACTCACAACAGAATATAAATGGCATCATACTACATCACTATAGCCTTCAAGTTCTTTCACTAATCTGCACTTTCGTGGATTTGATCTAAGATAAAACATTTTCACTGACTTCTAATTTCAAGGCCATGATTAAAAATTTTTCTCCTAGCTATTAAAAGGTCTCAGTTTGCAGGACAGTCCTGCCAACCAGCAAGCTAAGATTACCCTACTATGCTTCTTCCCATCGGAAATTTTTTCTGCTGTTATTGGTCCTGAATATAAAAACTAAGGAATTCTGTGTTTAGAAGGAACAATGACATAATCTATCTCTTCAAGAGATTTTCCAAGTCTTTCATGTCACCACAAAGTGATCAATCGTCCTAGTTGATTAAAAACAATCATGCAGGATGGAATATTTAAGTATACTCTTCACTCAAGCCTTACTAAAAAATAGCAAGTGTCTCTAAATCCACTAACTAAAATCAAAATGCAAATTTATAAATGCAACATCTTTCTAAACTTAACTAAATGTTTTCTTTCAGTTTCAATTACAATTTGGTTGCGTTGTTTCTCATTTGAGTTTTTTGTCACATACAAAACAAATCTGAGTTTTAACTTCTTCTCTTTCATCACTTCTTTGTTTCTTCTTTTTTTTGTCGTTTAGGAGTTCTAAAACTTGTAAATTCTTCTAATTTCGTTTCTTTTTTCATCTTGTTCTTCGGCCATTCTGTCAATGTTCCATCTCCTCCTCCTGCAATATTGACTCTGCCCTTTCAGTTTCTGTGTCTTGCAACACATCGGTAGCTATTCTGACGCTGTTGGAAGCAGTCCTTCAACACGTCTGCTCTTCCACTCTTCCAAAACAAGGTGGGGGATCAACGTTAGATTCTTTGTTTCGGCAGAAGCTGTTGTGGAGGCACAACGTCACGTTTCTCTCCAAATCTTCCTTCAACATCTCTTCTTTCACCCTCTCATTACATTCACTCGTCATGGAAGTTCTCTTTACTGCGGTGGTCACCGCATTCCAATGAGTTACAAAAGCTCGCCTGAAAGCTCCTGCCCCAATGTACAGCTGATACGCAAAATTTCTGCAACTCTTCTCTCGTTGGCGCCTCTTGTCTATTGTTCTCCTTCACATGAGCTTCCAGCCATCGTATCGCCATCATAACTCGCACAATCACTATCGTTATGGGCCATGATGAGTCTGGTAAACCCATGGAGAGCAGCTGCTCTCCACAGTCCCAGATCAACACCAGATTACTACGCCCGGGGTACCACCATGTTTGCAACAAGCAATGGCAGGGAAACTCATCATGTGTTGACATGATGCTCCTCCAATTACGCTTTCCCGAAGCTTCCAGTGATGGTTCCACTTCCATCATCACTCGGTGGACTTCATCATTTTCATCTCCCGCATTGTAATTCGTGATGTTTGATCCTTTCTGTTTCTGTCTTTCAAAGTCACTGAAGTTCCCACTGGCGTATCCCATGAACTTCCTTCCTTCTATCTCTTCTTTAGTTCTCTCCGGAACCGCTGAGAAAATTTTACACAGTAACTCGTAAGACTTTTCTGACATTCTCGCTAGTCTTACGCATTTTGGCACCGAGAAGGCTTGATCCACGATCGTCCTCGTGCTTTTCACAACCACAGCTACGAAATGCACAGGGTATCTGCTCTTACACATTGAAACTAATGTGGATCCCACCAAATATCGCGCTCCCGACGGTCTGCGATATGTCTCACTGTGTCGGATGTTCATTTCCGCCTCGATTGCTTCCCTCCACCTTCCTATGTGTTTTTCCTCAGTCTGCAAAACTCCTGGGACCACTTCTACACTGTTGGCCGTGACCATCTCATGCTTTTGTTCTTGATTCAATAGTGACTCTAAAGAACCAAACATGCTGTAGAATCCTAGTGCAGTCACTAGATTCACCTCGGCTACTCCATGGCAATCCGCAACAGTTCCGTTTCTGTCTTTGCCTTCATCACAATGTTCCCAAACAAAATCGTCAACTGCTTGTGTTGTTTCTCCAAGCTCTTCATGCAATCCAGACCTCCACAGACGTGACCTTCCAGTCCACAGACTTCTTCCAGACAGCTACCAGGTTTGACCCAGTCCTCTGGTCCCCAGCCAGGCAACTCTACTTTGTCTTCTCCGTTGCTCTTAGAGGCGGTTGTCATCACGTTATAGATGAGTTCTCTGTACGTCTTGTGTCGCCCGTAATATTGAATCAGCGTTGAGACTCGGACACCATGATGATCCCATCAGTTCCCAAACTACCATCAAACTGGTTCTCAGCAGTTCGTCTGGGAATCCAATCCAAGTTCTGCCCGGTTGTTCAATTTTGGCACTGAAGTTGCAGTCACCTTTTCCTCCAAGACTAGTACCAGCTTGGCCTGCTGATTAGCAGCGCTTCTTATCGTTTCAATTCTCGACGTCCAGAATCTTAGCAACACTGCTTGCTCGTAATCAAAGAAGCAATCGCGTATGTCCTCATTTAGGAAAGGTTTGTACGTCATCCCTATGATTGCGGACACGTAACTGTAGGACTTCTTCCTGATTGGTCCACAGTATTCACCGGATTTTGGCAGTGCTCCCATGGATTCCTTAGTGAGCCTCAATTCTTTGTTTGAGAATCTCCTTATTTTGTCTATTTTCCTCATGGGTTCTAGTTCCACGGGT